TGCCCTATCATAACTTCTCACTTGTCAAAATGTGTGCCCTTTTGTGGAAAATCTAGTGTGGACCCATAAGACTTGCTATTCACCACGATCGGCTAATCCGACTCGGGCTTCTAATCCGGATCCCCTCATTATTTTGTAGATCCGTTTCTTCTCTTTCTGGTTGACCGATTTCACTCGGTTCCAGTCCCAGTGTGCATTTCACACCGGCGCTATTTCTCAAGGCCCTAAAAGCACGTACACTGCCGCTTCATTGAGCAGAGCGTCTTAGCTCTGATTGCCATGCTTGCAGATATCAGGCCTTCCCTTCACGGATCCTCTCCTTCATTAAACCCATGTTATCTGAGCAAACTGTGGACGCCTATCTCTGGTTGCATTCGACATCTCAGGTGGATTTCTAGTACATTTTGGCCTTAACGCCGAATTTCCGTGACGGTTTGCTTATTCGTCTGCCCAGCTCCCTGACTGCCAGGTCTCCTAAGTTGTACTAATTTGTTCGAAACGGACATCGCTCACTGACAACGCCTTCGCTTTATTGCCGAAGACCCCCGCCCCCCATTTTTCTCATCGCAATCCCTTTATCTCCGGTTAGCGATAGATCCTTGATCCAAGAGTCTCCTTTTTGCTGGCCTTGCTATATTCTTGTTTTTACCGAGTTTGCTTAAGCAGTAGGCAAAGTTATCGCAAACTCTACCTTCCTCCAATCCCCTGTTCGTCAGATTTTTATCTTCAATGGGAAAATTCCTGGCCTTCCTTGAAATTCACATCTGCCCTGTGACCATAGGACACTCGTGGCAATGTGGCGAAGGGGTTAACTTGCCGAAATCACACGCTGCACTGTCATGGTTCGAGTCTTGCTGACGCGATTTCGAAACTGCAATCAGCTCTGGATGAGAGCACCTTTTAGTAACGCAAGGCTATGTAAAATTCAATGCAAATGTAAGGTGTATTCATATCATTGTGGAAAAATTCAATTATCAGTCCTTATCACATTACACGAAATATGATAAATACATCTCATATATCTGGTTTATTGGTAGTCTTAAAAACCTACCTACATATTTAAAAAAAATATTAATCTAAAACGCAGTTTTGATTTGATTTGAATCTCATTCCCGAATTAAGATTAAAATCTAATTTTCCTTCTATGCATTTACATTTAATCCTACCAGCGTTTACCTAGCCTTTTTGGTCGATTCGTACCATTCATTGCCGTCGCGGCTGCTAACGTTATCAATATTCCTTGTATGCGCCGGAATGAGCTTACTGAGGGAATTACCATCACCGATGCTGATGGTCAATTTTTGGGTAAATCGTCTATCGCCGCTCGTTATGCTATTGCTCAAGTCGTCTGTTCACGTATCACAATGTGCATGCCTGGCATGAGTAAGTGACAATTTCCTTTATTTTTCGCGCACTAAAATGTTGACTTATGAAATGATTTAAAGTGCATGCTTAGGGACACGCTACAGCACATGATTTGATGGGTGCCATAACCCATAAAATAATTTATTTGTTGTGTAAAATGATGCTTGCTTTTAGCTTGTCTAGAGGTTAGAATACCTTACTCCCTTTTGAACAAAGAAGTACATCATTTGTCATCAACATTATGTAATGATTTATGGTGGGGGTTCAGCTCTAATTAGCAGGATTATTGCAAAAATTTTAAATCATAATAATGGGGAAATGGATAGATGGATGATGAAATCTTTAATCAAAAATGACGCAAAACCACTGATAGCCTACGAACTACCGAAGATACACAAGGAAGTAAGTCTGCTAATACGAATAGTCAGCAACAAGCATGGAGCAATACACAAACAAGCGAAATTAATTTGCTTGAAGCTCAAGAAGTAAATAACAGACTCGAATACCGTCAAGATTTAATATGAATTTTCTCAAAGGATCCAGAACATTGGGTTGATGGGGTCGGAACTGTTGGTAAGTTTCGATGTAAAATCCATGTACACAAACATCTCAAGTGAGAAGGCGGTAAGCGCCTTGATGGAGATATTGGAGCGAGAAGGGGAAATCCTGGAGGCAGAACGGATATGGAAAGAATCGTTAACACGACTGATCAACCTGACAGTAAGGACCACGTATTTTACATTTAACGGTAGTATCTACGAGCAAATATTCGGACTACCAATGGGATCTCCACTCTCACCTCTTTTTGAAAATGTGTACATAGACAAGTTGGAAATGGAATTCGAAAAGTCACAACTGCAACCAAGAGTGCTTATGCGATACTTGGATGACTACTTTGCACTTTGGTCACATGGTAACGAAAATAAAAATGAATTCCTCAATTTTATTAATCAACTTGATGAAAGAGTTAAATTCAAAATGGAGATGGAGGGGGATGAACGACTACCATTTCTCTATATAGAAGTCATGCGCTCCATGAGGAGAGTATACAGGAAGAATTCATATGCGGGAATAATCCTTTATTTTCAGTCTCATCATTACTACTGACTGAAGATCGGGATATTGAGGAGTTTGATCATCAGAAGGTTACGACTAACGGACAATGAGTTCTGGGATGAGGAGTTGGACAAACTGACACGGATTTGCCTTAATAACGGATACCCCAGAGCATTTATAGAAAAAAATGTAGGACTATAAAGGGCCGATTTCAACTTGGATTTTATAAAAGTCAGATCAGGAATCAGGATGACAACCAAAAGTGGATTTGTCTGCCCTCATCACAACTAAGCTAAAAATTGCTACCGTTACTAAT